TGTGTGTGTGTGTGTGTGTGTGTGTGTGTGTGTGTGTGTGTGTGTGTAAGTAGCCAGGATAATCTTTAACAAGCAAGTGATTGGATGTTAAACTATTGAACTCTGTTTGCAAAGGAAAGAAGAAAATGTTTTCCAAGGGTAGTAAGTATTGTGTGAACTCATAGCCAGCTTTTGTCTTCTTGAAAATTATCTCCATAAGGAGAGAATTAAATTACATTGGCGTTTATAGGGGATTAGACACACCGGGTACCCTAGTCTTCAATCCTGTCCTCTCATCTTCCTTCCATTTCCCTGTCTTAGGATATGGTAATTTGGAAGTGAGACCACTCTTTCTTGTCCCTGACAAAGAATCCTGTCATCTGCAGAATTTCTGTTCTTCCAGCTGGCTCCTAGCAGGGTAGGGAGAGACAGAGAAAGAGAAAATCACCGTTCCACTTCAGATGCTGCAAGTTGCTGTAGAGGAGCTGCCCCGCCGTCCCCGCTGCCCGGGTGAACTCCTGCAAACTCATGCTGCAGAGGTGCTCGCCGTTGATATCGAACTCTTGGAAAGGGATACAACTGGCATCCAGTTGGTTGGTGTCCAGGAGGTGCTGGAGCCACTCCCACACCTGGTACTTGGTCCAGTACTGAGGATGAATTTCATGCCACTGGCCTCCAAAAAACCCGCTGGAAACTGCAAAACAGGAGGCAGCCTTGTGAGTGACCCCTGCCTGTTTCTGGCCATAGTATCCAACACAGAGATGCAGTATTGGCTGCCAGATATCTTGGAGACACAACCACGGTCCGTGTATGTGCCAGCATGGGGGCTGGAGCAGAAATGCATCTGCATGTCCTCCCTAGCATGCTGCCTACCCCTGGATACTGGATGAGGACAAGAGAGCTGAAGTGCTCAGAGCTCATTCCCCACCTCACCCAAAGTAAAATATCATGAAAGCTAAGGCATTGCTATCGTTTCAGCAATTTATTAGCTTATTGTCCATATTTAAATAGTTCTCTTCCTCTTTTCTTTCACTCACTCTTTCCCATTTTCTCTCTTATACACACACACACACACACACACACACACACACACACACACATCCCAAATTCAAACCATTTGCAATCAAAAATAAGGCCTGAAATTAAGGTTCTTTTCTCTACGATGCCTTTGCTTTCCTCAGAGTGGTCCAGATTATTGATCTGCTAACTGGACTGATATCCCACTGCCCCGGCCTGGTCATTAAAGCTATCATGTCACTTCCCTACTTGGTTACCTTCAGTAGGTCTCATCATCCACTGAAATTATGTATAGAACTGCCTAGCTAGGCATTGACGCTTTTCTCTAACTCTTCAAGTACACAATGACTCTTGTCTTTTTTCTGTGCTGTTCTTTCTGCTCAGCTTGTGTTTTGCCTCTCACTCCTGTTGAATTCCTACCCATCTTTCAAACTCTGACCACCCCATAAAGTCATCACCAGTTCCCCAATTTGCCTCAAGGGCTCACTGTCCTCTGACTCTCCAGGAGATATGCTTGGTATTTCTCTTAATGGCTTTTGTCATGTTCTGCTTTTTTCTACAAGTCTCTGAGTGTCGTCTTATTCTCCTTTGTAAATTGCATCCTTGAGGTCACAGACTGTTTTACTTATCTTTGTATCACCTATAAAAATGACCTCAGAGACCTTGCCATAGTAGATGCTCACTGTATATTTATTTAATGGAATATGTTTTTGAAGAAGACATAAGGCAAGCATCTGAGTAGTTGGGAGGTGCATTCACAAGATGGTGCATTCAGATACAAATGAAGAAGTGATGTTCATTCAACTGCATAAATATTGCTGAGCCTAATATGTGCTAACCATCTATATATATGACTCATGTTCACTTCAAAAAACATTCCATAGTCTGCCCAAAGTTCTGGGGTGATGGAAAAGACAGAGCCCCCATCTGGGGGCATGGAACAGGGCTGAGAGATCTTACAGTTCCCTTGGAAATAGAGGTCAGGAAGGAGCTCTCCTTCAGGAAAAGTGAGTGGCAGGGGCAAGGGGCAAAGGCTATTGCATCCCACCAAGCTGAAGCAGGGGAAAAATCCAACCCAATGTGACACATGGATATTCCCACAAACTCAAGGGTGGACCAGTAGAAGAAAATGTAGTGCAAGAAAACCGTCTCTAAGTTTTTCTTCAAGGTCATGCCAGATCAGTTCTTCTCAAACTTTAATATGATTGTGAATCATCAGGGAATATTGTTCAAATGCAGATTCTGATTCAACAGGTCTGGGGCGAGGCCTGAGTTTCTGCATTCCTAGCAAGCTTCCATGTGATGCTGATGTTGCTGGTCTATTGAATTACAAGGAGCTAAAGGCTTCAGAAAAGTTTGACTCCCATAACGCCCATGGTCCAACCCACAACACCCTCAAAGGAGAGACCAAAGAGGAAATGTTTCTGAACCAATCCCTCTTCTTGTTCATTCATTCAGAATCGATCCACGACTTTTAGACCTCAGAAGCACTAAGGGCAGGAGGTCAAGTTTATATGGGGCACAAAGGTGACAGCCATTAGTAATACCCATCACTCACAGTATGCACGTTGCTCCTCAGACCTCATGGCCAAACAGAAGCACCCCCAGGACCTCAATGTGGGCTCTAAAGAGGAAGCCAATGGTCGGGATTGAGGGAGGATTAGAACAACCTAATCTAAAAATTTAATTATATGGAAATAGTCCCAAATACACAGACCTTGGGCTGGATGTTTCCATTTCCCCCAATTTTTGGTGCCTCACAAATAAAGCTGTTTATGGATGGGGTATATATTTTGTGGCTCCCCAAGTCTTTCATCTGCCTTTTTCTAAAATAATTGTGTTGCTATGATAGTACAGCTCTGGTTTTGGCAACGAGAGGCACCAACTTTTAATAACCTAACAGCACATCTAGAATAATCTCTTCTGCAAACTTAATATGATCTAGATTAAAAGATAGTCCCTGCTAGTGTATGTTGCTCAAACTTGGGAGAATCAGAGGATTTTGTCTGAAGTTGACTGGTGAGATTCTGCATGAGACATGGAATCCACTAAATTCCTGAAGTTTCAGGAGAAACAATAAAAAATCCTATGAGTTCACACCCGCTCTGCCATTCAACTGATCTCCTTTTCCTCTTCGGTCTTGATCAAGAGCTGACTTTTCTTTGAGATCTCTGGGATTTAAGAAATAAAAGTGGCAGGCACCCCAGTTCTACTTCCCACTAAACACATTTCCCCAGTTTTTGCCAGACCAAGCAGGAGAAACGCTGCCTTAATTGAGAGACCAGGGTCCTGGGGATGCCAAAGACTTTCAGTTTTATTTGGAATCCATTTTCACAGGGCATCCGAGGTCCACAGCAGAAAATGCAGCTGCCCAGAAAGTACGTCAGTTTGAGGGGACAGGTGACCGAGTAAGGGAAGGTCACCTGTTCACCCTTTCAACTGCGTTTGACTGGGATTCCAAATTAGAAGAGGTGGAGCTCCACATGGATCAGCACTTGCTGCAGAATAACTCTCCCATTATCCTCCCACTCCTGCTGCCCAGGCTCTGGTCACCAACAAACCATCTCCAAGTTTCAAAGCAAACTCGAACAGGGGAGCCTCTGGCAGGGAGATTAGCAGTGGGTGTGGAATGGAAAGAGGCCCAGAGCTCCTAAAACTCACTGCTGTTGGATGCACAGCTGAATGCCTAAACTGGATGTCTTCACAATGGGGTGTGGGGTTCCTGATTCAGCAACAACTTGATTCAGTTCAGCTTCTACAGGGAGCCACAGTCTTGATCACCAAACCCTCTATAAGCCCCACCACCAGGTCTCCTCTTCTTCTAATAGATGTGTTCTAGGTTAAAGCACTAAGGAGAACACCCGTTCTCCTGGAAGATGAAAAAGAAAGATTAAACTGTGTAACCCTCTCCTTCCTAATCTCCATGCATGTGCATGCGCACGCGCGCAAGCATGCACACACACACGCACACGCGCACACACACACACACACACACACCTTTCTCTCCTAGCCTATCTTGATATCCCAGCAAAATACTATTAAAAGCTTCAACCGGGAGTCTTTCCTTCAGGCATCTCTTCTACCTCATTCACTGCCAGGTTGTCACCCTAGAACCTTGAATTTGGGAGGAGATGATAGAATATCTCAAATGGGCTTTTGTCTGGAACTCTGGAGGCCGGTAGGAAACTACAAAATTGAGAGTTTTCTCCATTCCTTCTTGTCCCACATCTTCTGCTGGATAAAGCCTATATTTTTCAAACATCAGGTTGGGAGAGGAATTAAAGCAAAGGGTCCCCACTGCGCAGCAGTGACACCAACACCCATGGGCCCCCTTACCGTTGCACGTGGAGTAGTTGTCTGTCCAGGCTGGCGGCTGGTGAAGGAGGTTGTTGCCGGGGTTGAGATTCATTACACCACCTCCTTCCAGAATCATGATCTGTTAGGAGATCAAACAGCCTGTTCAGTCAGTGCGTCTTGGACAAATACCATTTGAAAGTGCAGATCACAGGGTAAATTTAGGAAGAAAATAAAGAGAATGTGTCCTTCCACCCATTGCCTGCCACCCATTGCCAAAGCCTTTTTTGTAAAAGCAAAACTCACGGCAATTAAAAATTTCCAGGTACAATTTTCATATGCATGAGGCAAGTTTTTACAGCCACCCATTCATAAATGAATAATCTCCGATCAGGAATGAAGCGGGAGGAAAATGAAATACCTGCTCCCAGGGCAAGGCTGGCTGGCATCCAAGTGTTGTTTTTTTCTTTTCTTTATTTCTTTATTTCTTTTTTTTTTTTTTACAAAAATGAAAATGCCAAGGAGAATTTATTTGAAGTGAAATTTCAATCAATGAAAGCCAGTAGCAGCACAGCCCCAGCACCTGTGTGGGAACTTGAACAGCAATCACACCTGCACACCCAGTAGCAGTTTCCTCAGTGTGGATATCTGCCACGGACTGAGCTGATCATCAGAGGGCCTCGGTCATATTTTAATAGAGCTCTTCAAGTACCTAGCTTTGTGATAATATCAAGAATCAGTTGATTTCTCTGGCAGACACTGCCCATTTCTGGTAAAGAAAACATTTTTTCTTTCTGGTAACAATTATAACTAGTTTTTTTCTCCTGTTAGAGACCTGGGGAATTTAGTGGGTTTCCAATCTGACCTAAATAAAAGTGGCTTCCTCGTCTGCAGGATCATTTTCTCAGTAAAGGACTCGGGAGAAGAGATTTCTTCCATGGGACTGTTTGGATTTTTTTTATAACAATGTAAACGTTGTACACTTCAGAAATATTGTCTTCAAATGTCCAGCATTCATAATGTCCCTTCTCCCAAGTGGGACACTCTCCACCTTGCAGACCAGAGCCGCAACCGTGCATTCAGTCATTCAAAGGAAGAGCAGCCTGTTTCCAGATCGCTATTGGGCAATACCCAGAGGCTGTAAAACTCACTTGCTCTTTATAAAATGTTGGGGTGGGGAGAGGAATTCAGCTTTATAGCAGCAATTCATGGAAAATTTTCTGCCCGTTTTGGGGAAATTTTGCATCCTCAGGTATTACCAATGTCCACAGGATTAAAATTGACAATCCAGAGTATTTTCAGCCCTGGGCATTCCTTCTCCTGATTTAGCTACTGCTCCTCTGGCTCTGTGGAGGGCCTGTGGAGGGGGAAGAGGGGTCTGCAAAAGGCATACAAACATATTCATGTATTCATTTATTCAACAAATATTTATCAACCCAATAATGGGCTGGGCACAATTCTAGGTGCTGGGGAGAGAGCAGTGAACTAGGCTAGACACAAACGTGTATGATGATCATTTAGCATCATCTTCACTGTTGCTTGGTAAATAATTGAGACTGAATCCAGCCTAAGTAGAAGGTGGAGACGGAAAGACGGGGTGGGGATGATGGATGCTATAACAGTGAAGAGCCACCGGGCAGGAAGATGGGAGCACTGGGTTCTACGTCCTGGCACCATGCATAGGAGCTTTGAAGCCAGAAGAGCTGGGGTCGATTCCAAGATTTCCCACTTGCTAGCTAAGGTTAGTACTGACCCAAGTTACCAAACCTCTCTGAACCCCAGTTTCCTCATATGCAAAATGCACCTAATCATACCTCGTCTATACATTGGTTGGAGATTAAATGAGTTTCTGTACCTCGAGCACTTAGCACAAAGTAGGTCACAAATACATGTGAGGTGTTATGATGAGGTGCATCACTAGCTCTGGGGACAACCTGAACCAGAAATCACGCTGGGCCTCAGTTTCCCCACTTGAAAATGTAAAGACGGTGACTCTACTGATTCGTAAGTTCCCTTTCTGAAAACTTCTTTGATTCTCAAAGAAAACAAACTCAAGTCAAACCTTTCTTTTTCACAATAACTGGGCATTTTCCCATCCAGCTTTGTAGAGCAATTGCCCTAAAGCTAAGAAATCAGACTGGGAACTTCAAGGCGAAAGAAAATCTCTAAGTCCCCAGAGGGGATGGCTGGGGGAAGGAGGGGGGACACAGGGCACAGTCTCTTGTTTGCTCAAGGCTGGGCTTGTTCCTTGCTAGCATTTGCTCAACCACAAGCAGTGTGGAAAGGTTACTGTTTAACCCTGAAAGGGCTGAAGCTCAGAGCCCCGACCATTTACACGAAGAGACTGGCCTTCCAGGCTTAGGGAGGACAGGCAGGGAAAGGCTTCTCTAAAATTGTTTCACAAGGATTTGCCTGCAGGGTTGTTTCAAAGTGGTCATTTCAGTGGCAGCACCTGCCTGGGGCAACTATGCTTCCTGATAAACAGAAAGCAGGGTGACGTGGAGACTGAGCGCCCAGGCTTTGGAGCTGGGGAGATACAGGCTCACATTCCAGTTCCCCGGGTTACTGCGGGTGACCTGAGACAGTGCCAAGTCTGTCTAGCCAAACACATTCTGATCCTCGCTTTCCGTACCTGATAAATGGGAACAACCCCAAACTCAATAGGTTGTATGAATCAAATGAGGTCGTGCATGTAGAGAGCTTAGCAAGTAGTGAAAAAAAAGAATTTAATAAATATTGCAGAACAGTATAGACCAGTTCTCTACCTGTGGCCAAATGCCCATGAGCCCCTCTCCTCAGGGCCGACATCATTTTCTACCATGACCTTCTGGAAGCATCCAGAACTTCTCCCAACCCCCAGAGATGCCTTTAAGACAACAGGGTGGCAGTTGCCCCATCGCCATCCTCCCACCAGAGGATGACCTGTGCACAGCATGGCTCCCTGCCGGCAACCCCTTTCCAAGAGAAAGCAGCCAGCATGGTGAGGGGCCCTTTTTTACAGGGCACATTAAGTGGTTACCACTCATAAAAGAGTTTGTGTGGCTTAACCCTTATGAGTCAGAGCTCGCTTGAGCTCACCTGGGCTTGTAAGCAAAGAAGGTCAGCGTCTCCAACCTGGCAGGGAGCTGCAGGGAAAGATGCCCTCAGGGTGGGCCCATGAGGCCCACAGCCAGTGTAGCTGAAGGCCTTTGGCCAAGTCCTACCCTCCTCTGAGGCACAGTTTTTCAGGTGCAAAGTGAGGACATTGGTTCCCAACAGCCTCACAGGACTGTTGAGATGGAATGAAATCATAGATAACCAATATGACTTGAGAATTATGAAAAAAAGTCTTATTATAGCCAACTCAACCACACCCCCATACGCTAATGTAGACTTTCTGTGGTATATAGTCATTGCTTTCTGGGGGTATCAGAAGCAATCCTTTAATTAGAAAGTAGGGGAATCATTGAATGCTCATATTTCTGCTCCCTACTTTACCTTCAGCATAGCTTTCATTATTTTCTTAAAAACTATATACACCATCAAATATGTGGAAGTAGAGACTTTGGAATCTGAGAATCCTGCATTAGAATCTGGGCTCCATCTTTCAGCCATGTGACCTTGAGCACGCTAACCTTTCTGAGCCTCCATTTCTCACACTGGTTTAGAAATGGGAGGACTGGAGGGGGTTGGGGGGAGATTATTAGTTTCTCCGAAGGCTAAGGGCTGTTTTAAAAGATAAATAATTATGATGGATCTTGTCTAGCACCTGACAAACATGACCCCCATCAAAATCAGTTTTTTTCCCTTCTTTCAACATTAATTCTCAAGGTGTTCCTCAAACACATTTTGCTTCTTCTGGGACTGAATCCCCAGTTGAGAGCCTAAGTCAGAATGACTCCACCCTGGGAGTCAAAAGGAAGCTGAGAAAAGGACTTGCTTCTTTCCATTTTCTGCTGGAGGCAGGAACCTCGGATTGGAAGGTAGAGGAGAAATCCTCAGCCACCCTAGGTAGCAGTTAAAACTCAACCTCTCGCGCCATTGCACTCCAGCCTGGGTAACAAGAGCGAAACTCCATCTCAAAAAAAAAAAAAAAAAACTCAACCTCTCCGCCACTGAAATGTGGACAGTCCTTTCTGTGGGGGCTGGCCTATGCATTGTAGGATGTTTAGCAGGACCCCTGGCCCCTACCCTCTAGATACCAGCAGCACCCCTCCACACATACCATGTCCCCGAGGCAAAAACCACCCCCAGCGAAGAATACGTGTTAAAAGATTCTGGAGGCAGACAGTTCAGGCTTTGCTCTTACTGATGTGCAAGCTTAGGCTGTCCCTTAGCCTTCTTGGGCTGCCATTTCCTCTCTTGGAGAATAGGCATAGGCTTGCTAAAGGGTTAAATGAGATGAAGCACCTCAAAGCCCATAGCACAGTGCCTGGTACCTATAGAGTAATTGATCTTCGAAGGTTTAAGAGAATACACTGGGTATCAGAGCCACCTTTGTCTGTTCCCAGGTGGTGTGTGTTCTGGGGAGATAGTATAACTTATTACCTGGGCTATTAAAAACTGCATACACACAAAGAAAAACTATGCCTTTTATTTCAAAAAGAATGACATGAGATCAGGTGCGGTGGCTCATGTCTGTAATCCCAGTACTTTGGGAGGCCAAGGCAGGCAGATCACCTGAGATCAGGAGCTCAAGATCAACCTGGCCAACATGGTGAAACCCCATATCTACTAAAAATACAAAAATTAGCTGGGTGTGGTGGTGCACGCCTGTAATCCCAGCTACTCGGGAAGTTGATGCAGGAGAATCGCTTGAACCCAGGAGGCAGATTTTGCAGTCAGCCAAGGTAGCACCACTGCACTCTAGCCTGGAAAACAGAGCAAGGCTCCATCTCAAAAAAAAAAAAAAAAAAAAGTGAAATGAAATGTGGATTATCCAGAGATTTTTTTCATATATATCCCCCTATCCTTTTTCATAGGTAGGAACAATTGGAGGGAATGGCATTTGATTTTGAGACACTATTGATTGTCCTGAGGTTGACATTTGTCCCAAACTTCACCCCTTTGTGCAGAAGTTTGTAAGACTGACAGCTGTGGGACAGAATTCAACTCTTTATTTGAAGAGAAGGAGCCGTGTGTGCTACCCAATAGACTGAAGAACCAGCACGCACATCACGCCAGGCTTCTTGCCAGGACCTATTTAACCCGAGGCAGCAAGTCCCCTACAGATGAGGTGCCATCAGCTCCCCTAAAATTATGAGCCACTGGCGCTTGGCCAATCTAAAATTCTATTTGCAACAAGAAAGCCCTGTTCTGTGCCAAATGGTAGCCTGAGTCATGGCGGGAGATAGGCCAGCCTCTGCCTCTCACTTCTTAAAAGGCAGTTTCAGGTAAACAGAAACTCTCACAGTGCCCTGAGTTGCAAAGGACTTGGACTGCTTCTGTGCCAGCCACACATAGAGACACATCCCAGCTCCCTGTGCCTGCTTCTCCAGGCTTTCTTTGTCGAGGCCTTGCTTCCAGAGAGCACCACCCTGCCCACCACGCACAGGCCGGACCCATGAAGGGGAGCAGGGGGAACAGAGCACTTGGTCTAACCCTGAAGTTTAAGAGTCTCCCATTTTGGCTGCTGGTCAGTGGCAAATACGGGCATAGCAGAAGGTGAGGCCTGGCCACGGAGACTGGATCCCACTAAAAGCTGAGTTGAGAGGACACATTCAAGAGTGTGAGGAGCTTCAAATGCAGCCCAGTGGTGCTGCGTGTCTTGAGGGGAGCTGTTAGGAGAATGAGGGCTCATGACTCAGACAGTAAGGGTTGAAATGTTGGTACTGCAGCTTGGTGGCTTCTGTTGACCTCGGAGAATTTCTATCCTCTCTACAGCCTCAGTCTCCCCACATAACAAAATTCTACTTTGGAATGTGGAGCTGATATGAAGATTAAATAAGATTGTTTGGAAAGTTCCCAGCATAATGTCTCATATGTAGCAAGTGTCTAGCTTATTAGAGGATCTGCCTGTGAGTCTCCCTTTAAGCTGTGTTGACTGGCACTGGAGACATCCAGTGGGGTAGACTCCTCAGAAGCAGGACAGTGTCATGGTTGGGAGCCCCAGGGTCTTCTGGAGTTACATGGCCACAGTTCAAATCCTGGCTTTGCCAATTTCCTAACAGGGCAAGCTTGGACAAGTTATTTAACTTCTTGGGACCTCAGTTTCCTCATCTATAAAGTAGAGATGATATGAAAAAAGTTGTTGAAAGACAACAGTGAAATGATATCTGTAAAATGCTTGGAAAAGCATGACACATTGTAAATATTTGATAAATGTTTGCTGGTTTTCATAATAATGATCATAATCATACTTGTAGTTTTTATTTTATTGAACTCCCAAGGAGAAAATTGAGAGCCAAGTTCATTTCAAACAAGGCTTCAAACCTCTCTTATCTGTACAGTCTTCTCCAGTTCCAGCTGACTGGCACAGTTGAGACTAGGACTGGATCTCCTTGCTCCTCTCTCCCTGTTCTGAGAGCTGATGTGTAGACTTTGAACTATGAACAGCAGGGTTTCGACCCTACATGCAGAAGCCATGATGTTCCCCTCTGACTGGGCACAGTTGTTACCCAAAGGACTGAAAGCCATCCCTCCTGCCCCGCTTCTTCTCAGCAGACATACTGCCAAGGCTGCCAAGAGCAGTGGCAGGGCATATGCTCCAAAGCTCTGGGCTGTCAAAGGCTTTGCACTCCCACACACCATGGCTGGTTTGCAGGTGCAAAAAAAAAAAGACCAGGAAGAGCAGCATGTCTAAAATGCGAGTCCCTGGCAGAGAGCGGCTGAAGAGTTTCTCTATCCTCCGAGTCCCTTAGCACAGGGAATGCTCCATTACTGCAAGTAATAAGGGTTGGGATTGGGGCTGGTAGGTACAGAAAAGAAAGAAGAACGCCTGGGACTCTAGCAGGGAGCTGGAACCACGCATTCCAAGACCTAGGAGGCTCTGCTCAGCCTCAAGATTCCTAACCAGGCTAAGGGCTGCTCCACTGGCCTCCCTTCTTAAATATACAGAGTGAACCTCCCAGAAGAGGCCAAGGCAGGCTTGGGCCTGCTCAGCTGAAGGGAGTTCTTTCTTTTGCTCAGTGATGGGGCTACTGAGACTCAGGATTGAACACTTTAAAAATAGTAATAGTAATAACTTTACTATAGTAATTCAGACGTATTGAATACTTCAAATGTGACAGCTCTGCACTGCTGGTATAAACATATTATCTCAATGCTCACAACAACTCTAGGAGGCGTTATGTCATTTAACAGATGGCCTCTCTGAGGCACAGAGGAATTCGGTGACTTGTTCAAGGTCACACAGCTTAGCAAGAATTGGAGCTAGAAGAGAATTCAAACTCAGGCTGTCTTGCAATAAAATCTGGGAACTTGGTCATTCTCTGCTGAGAAGAGGGTGTTTTGCCAGAGAAGACTCATTCTTATTTTGATCCCCATTCTAGACACGATCACAGCATTCTCCCTGTATCGTCTGCTGCCTTAAACCTTTATCAAGCTTATATACAAATATGTATATACATATATATATGTATGTATATACATATATACACATATATATGTATATATATACATATGCACACATATATTCACATGCACGCATATATGCATACATGCATATGTAATGTAAATCCTCTCCCTATGATTCGATAGTTATTTTAATTTTGTATTTGGGAAATAAACTGATACATAATTATTTATGTTTTACCTGAATCAGACCTCAGGCCAGAGAAGATGATTTGCTCCTGCTGCAAGGGTGAAGGTACACTGAAAGCCACCAGGACCACAGAGCAGATCTTAAGCAGGGCTTGCACCTGCATTCCCTGTCCCTAGCCCCAGAGGATTGAGAAAAGGCCATGATCAGCCTTCTTCCTAGCTCCCTTATTCATCTAGCCACATCATCCCCAAACTGCCGCAGAACTGGCTGCCATGTGGGCATTTTGACTCCTGAAGCCAAAGAAGCAATTAGTCCTTTTAAATAATTACTTTTGTGATGACAGCAATACCCAGATCATTCTCAGTCCTTAATCAAAGTTACCAGCAGGTGAATTCATAGCATTTGCCCTGAGGATGTTGCAACAGCTCACTGGCTTCCTGTTTCAATATGATTGTCGTTTCAAAGGACTACTCCCAAATAAGAGGGAAAAAAAATTCATGTACATGTGAAGGGCAACTGCATATAATACAGACAATCATTTGTGTTTTTATAAATGAGTCAAATTGTGAATCAAGCTTGGGGAATGCATTTGATTCTCTTGGGATTACATCACAGGTAATTTCATAGCCTTATAATGTGTTTTGAAACAGACATTTTTCATGTTCCCAGGGGCAACATCTGAAGTATTATTGCTGGGATTTCAAGGGTTTTCATGACCAATAATGCAGTACTGGGAGGCCAAGTCTGGATCCATGATAGGTACACTTTATTGACTGTAAGCCATTTGGAAATATACATATTATACTGATCTTTATCAGTCTTGGTGTCAGACCCAGACAAGGCGGCACATACTGACAGTGGCAGTCACCCAAGTTGATCAAAAGACAAGCTTGCCTAAGATGACCCCCAGGGCCTTTATCAAACCCATTCAGATATGATAAAGTAAGAATAGGGCAAGCTTCGGATTGTAAAAGGTCACAGAGGCTTTTGAGGTCTCAAAAGAAGCTTTGACTCTCCTCTTCTTCCAAATATTTGCATCCTCCTGGTTTTGCTTGTTTTCTGTGGGCCTCTGTGGACAACCTATCACCATATTATTTGCCAACTTGAAACAAAATAGGTCATAATGCTCAGTCCCCCCATATTGTTAGATTCAACAATGTTTGGCTACAGAAATCCCAGACCTCTAAACTAAAATCTGCATTTCTGCAAACCTCCCTTAATGAAGTATTGAATGTGCTCACCATTGAGAGTTTCTGGTCTATACACCCACCCACTGGCCTCCCTTCCCTTTGCCACCACAAGATGACTAACACCAGGAGATAC